TGGGCCAGCTCCTTCAGCACTCTCGGGTGGATCCCATCTGGCCCCATAGACTTGTGGATGTCCAGGTGGCATAGCAGGTTGAAGACTGCTTCCTCCTGGATTATGTGGGGTTTATTCCACTCACCATCCCTGTCTTCCAGCTAGGGAGGCTGGGTACACTGGGGATAACTCGTCGGGCCATTAAGACTGAGGCAAAGAAGGCGTTAAGTATCTCAGCCTTTTCCTCATCCTTAGTGGCAATATTCCCCCTTGCATCCACTAGAGGATGGAGGTTCTCCCTGGCTCACTTTTTGCTGTTAACATGTTTATAAAAACTTTTCTTCCTATCTCTTACAACAGTGGCCAGATTGAGTTCTAGCTGGGCTTTTGCCTTTCTAATTTCCTCTCTGCATGACCTGACAAGATCCCTGTACTCTGCAATCAACAACAATCAACAATGATGTTACATTCAGAAGGATAATGGTTGGACTTGATGATCTTAAAGGTCTTTTCCAACCTAAACAATTCTATGATTCTATAAGTTACAGATAAGATGGTGGCTCATAAGATAATAATGGAATTTTTTTTAGGAAATCTTTAGTCACCTGCTTGCAGCCAAACATCTGCTTGGTTTTATGTTGTATTCAGAACTGGAACAGTATCTGTAGGCACTTGGGATTTTAATTACCTCTTGAGCAACACGTGGAGATGAAATTTAATTCAGTCTGGTAAAAGCATGTGATAAAGGATTGAGTAGATGATGATGCCTGTCTTTTTTTCAAGTGAGAACAATGAAATATATGTGCCATCTCTGCCTCTTCTCCTCCCTCCCCTTTCTTCTTTACTTGTCTTAACCATGACGTATTTTGACATTTGGGTCACAGTCCAAATGGACTTCAGAATCCGTCATCTCTTTTCTGCCCTGTGGCTTTGTTGAATCGATATGGTATGTATTCATCTGTCTCTTTATACCTAGTTTTCTTCTTTCTTAATAGGTCTACTGTTAAACAAGTCCCTGCTGTTTTTAAAATAGGACTTTGTTCTGCTCTTAGCCCCAAGACCCCTTAGTCATACAAAACCTTGTTCTGTGAATTCTGTTCATTTGTTTTCCTGTTTGGAGATTTTATTTTCCACATTCTATTTCTCCTTCCTCTGCTGCTGATGCTCAATCTGTGAGCAATTGTTTCACTCATGCAATGTTACGCAAAGAAACGAGGTAAATGGCAGCATATATTTTCTTCCTCACAGTTCTACTTCCCTTCAAAATATAAAAAAGCCCACAAAAAATTAATAAAGTGGCCAAAATAAACTATTTTGAACACAATTTTTACCTGTAAATAAAGCAGAACTACTCTGTAGTTGTAGATGACATTATAAAATTCAGTAATTTCCAAACTCTGAGCATTTCTTCTGATTTCACAGATGACCAGAAGATGGAAAGTCTAGCATAAATCTGAGTAACCTGTTAAATGCTTCACATGAAAGAATGTCCATCTTGCTGCTCATATTCTTGAATGTTACTGATTCGTGTTATGAATGTAACAGGGCACATATGAAAGTAGTGCATTTTAAATTTATTCCTAGTAAGGAATTTATTTTTAAATTTATTCCTATGGTAAGCATTCTCAAACCAAGAAACTATATTTATATTTTCCCATAAATAAATATGTAGGTCATCTTGAACAATGAACAATTGTATGGAAAGACAATAGAAAAGTAAAATGTCTACTTCAGAGTACAGACTGGTATTTTCCTCTCTTCTCAAATTATCATAAAGGCTGTTCATTCAGGATTCTGCTATTTTTCTAGAACACTAGTGGTAAGTTAAAAGAAAAAAAGTTTAAGGACGATTAAGTAACAGAAATACCAAATACTTTCAACGAAGAAGAAAGAAAATTAATTTGCTGTGGTTTGGGTTTTTTTTCCATTTCTATACTAGCAGAAGGATTGATTTGTGATCAGAAAAAGTAGAAGTGTTGTGTGGTTAAAAACAAAATCTTTCAAGCTTTGAGAGATGTCACAGTGGTTTCTGCTCTTTATTCACAACTGTTTCTGCTTTTCTCCCTCTTCTCTAGAACAGAGATGCAAGCTAATCGTGCTGGTTAAAATTTATGCCAGTGTCACTTCATATATTGTGATTTTTTAAAAAAGTCACTATTAGAGAAGTAAACTGTAAGAAATTTAAACATAAGAAAAAAAAACTTCTTTACTTATGAGTGTGATCAGATACTGGTACAGGTTTCCTAAAGAAGTAGAGTCTACATTCTTGGAGATGTTCAAAACCCAACTGGATGTTGTCCTGGGCAACCTGCTTTAGTTGACTTTGTTTTGAGCAGAGGAATGAGACTAGAGACCTCCAGGTTTTAATAGTTATGTAGTGTGGTCAAAGAGCCTCTCTTCTGAATTTGGAGATAACTTCTCAGTGATTTTAGCTATTTAGGATGAAAATCTTGGTGTAGTCTGCATATGTGTATTAAAGGAACTTATTACCTACAGTCCTTCAGATTATGATCAAGGAGTTCTTTTATTAATAGGTCTAATCAAGAAAACCTATTAAGTTTTGTGTGTTTATATTTTGAGATCTATGCGAGTTTTTTAACTTAGTTTCACACTTAAGTTCTGAAGGAGAATAATTAAATATCATCTTGTCAGTGTTCTTTATAAAGATCAAAGAATTTATTAGAAATTTCAGATGTGTATGTGTTTCCAAACGCTGTGTTCTAATTGTTTTCAAATTTTTGTATTCAGCAGCTAATACACTACCTTATCTTCCACAGACCTGAAGAGGGAGGCCAGTATTTGTCACATGCTGAAGCATCCTCATATTGTTGAACTGTTGGAGACATACAGCTCAGATGGAATGCTTTATATGGTCTTTGAGTTGTAAGTTTCTCTCTTTGATTTTCCTTTCTTTGTTGTCATTTGCTAAATAAAATCCTAAAAGTGTGTCTGCTTCCACCTGTTTCTTTTGTAGCTCAGAAGTCTTGCATGCTATGAAAATTTATTTCTGGCAAGTACAGGTTGTCCCAAATATAATAAAGCTGTCACACTGGCTAAGTGGCTAATATCCGGCTGATTCCTTACAGCATGCTTTCTAAGGGCAGACATGCTGTTCATTGATGGCTGCCATGTCCCTAATAGGCGAACATGAGAACGAGTTCAAAATCTGCTGATAGTTGTCATCTTTGGGTAACTGTCGGTATTCTATTCCAGTTGTGAAGTTTTGTTTGTTTTTTTTCCAGACTATTGTTTCTTTAGCACTGCTTTTCCTTTACTAGATAAGAAAGTAAACCTTATTTGAGTATTTAAGTATTCTTGTAAACCTGTTCACATCATGTGATAAGAGGCATTTGTCCAAAATATATATTTTGGAAGCTTGAACGTAAGCATTTAGTTACCATTGGCATATGGAAGGATGAACAAAACATGACTTTTCAGCAGTGTACAGGTATTTTTAATCAATGAGAAACAAAAAGGGGGGGGCAGTCCCTAAATCACCACATTCCTTCTTTGAGGGAAAATTATTAGTCCTTCTTGAGTTAGGCTTTAGCTAATTGGGAAGGACAAAAACAGATGTGCAGAGTGCTAATTTGTGCATCTTCTGTATTCGATCCTCCTTCTCATCTCTGTACCTACCAGCTCTTCTTTTTGTGTTCCCCATATATGCATTCCTAGTGTGTCTGGGCATATGTGTTTATACCTCTTTTAATTTCTCTGATCTTCCTGCATATGTTTTCTGATGCATTTGGCCTGCTTACATTGGAGCAAGCCACATCATGCTAGTGTGTTAGATCAAATTGGCATGTCCACTACAGCCAAATAGTTGATTTGAGATATGCACTTCAAAAATAATTCTCACGTTAGTTTTACCATTTAAATAGAGAAAAATGTAGGTGGTAACACCAAAAAAAAATAGATGTAAAGCTGAAAATTGTTGCTTGAAAGTTTTCTGCTTTCTATTTTTAGGTGAGTTTACAAACTTATGTTTGTATGAAATAATTGGTTTATGCTTTCTTTTCTGTAATTCTTTATTCAATAATTACTTTGGTTTTTATTCTGTAAATCCCAAAGTGTGGACCAAGGGGCTTTAATTATCCTATTATGAAATAATTATGTACACCTTGGGGAGACATACTGTGATAATTAACAAGATTTTGAAATGGAAAAAGGTTTTGCTTCTATTTTTACCAAGCCAGTAGCTCAGAAATATGAGGCAAAAGCAGTAATTATTTTTTAATGACAAGCCTATTATCATTTATGTTTGTGTACATAAAAAGTAAGTTTGAACAATTAGGATTACTACATAAATATTATACCTGACTTCAGTCCACATGAACAAAGGAAATATGAGGCTAAATTATTTGAAGGACAATAATTCTTTACCATTTCATATGTCCTTGTCTCCCTTGTACGCTGCAAGACATCACTCTTTTGTAACAAACAGTGATAAAAAAATGAGACAGTGGGAACACCTGTGCTCAAAATGTAGTGGGGAAAATAGAAGAGTTGTGGGCGTGATGTGTTATGCTGGGGGGGATGCTTTGGTAAAGTGATTCAACAGATGACTGATGTTTGTTGTGGAGTAAGACTGCATTGCCTGAGTTTGATTGGATTAGTGGCATACTATATAATTGTGACCATAATAAGAAACTTGCAGTTAGTAGAAAAGCATCTATATATTTGTAGGTAACTTATTTTCCCTCATGCTGCTTTCTGTTCATTATGCTATTATTTTATAACAAACTTAACTGCTTTGCAACTAAGTTCTGTTTATGGTGATAAAATGTATTTTATTAAGGTCTAGTTATTCTGAAATGACAGGAGAGGAAGACAACACAGATCTGCAGAGGAGATACAAGATGAGTTGGTGATGGGCTGTTTGTGGACTGGCAGATTCTTTACATGAAAATTAATTCAGGTCCAGCACATGAAATGCACGCAGTAACCAAACCTAAACTTTGTCCCATCAGTTGCACATAAATGATACATAGGTTCACTACTGATTCATAAGCTGTGAGCTGCGTGGAGCAGCTGCTGAAATGACCCTGAATATCTTGCCAAATCTATTGTTATGAAAAAGTACAAGTTAAATAAGCAAATGCAGCATATATCTGATAACAAGAGATTGTACCACTCAGGAAAAAGTACAACCTGTGCCCAATTTTGAAAACTTTCATTACAATAAACATTAAAAAAAAAATCAAGTCACACTCCATAGAAGCTCTGAGGAACATGAATAGTAGCAATGAAGTTTAACACCAAAATTAAGCTATGTTTTTAACCACTATTTATGCACGAATTCAAGCACTCTTTATAGTGGGGCCATAGTGTCATGTTAGCAGTAGGCTGCCATCAGCCATTAGGTACTGTTGTAATAAACTGACCGGAAGCAGTTGGCCATAATAGATGAAGTACATGTGTAAGTAAGAAGCAGATTCTGTCCCAGAAAGTCTTATTCTTAAAGTAAAATTATTATTTTAAAAGTATTTAGATGTTATTACACCATAAGTGAGAGAGTATGTGCCTATGCCAAGTGATTTTTCTCCCCCAGAACCCCAGTTGCTCCCCAGAAGGGCAATGGACTCTTCCCCCTGATGGAAGAGATCCATTGGAGGCTTTAGAGAGACCTTGCATCTGAGATAGGCCCAGCACTACACTTCACCATACAGTCACAGTTTTCTTTCCTGTTCTGTGGTATCATTTGCTGACAGCTGTATATCAAGTGATCCATCACTGGTCTCGAGTTAACTGTGACCTTTTACCTAATACAAGCATATCGTCAATAGAAGTACATCAAACAGATATATTTTACAGTGTCAAAAGAGATGAAAGCAATTTTTTTAAGTCTGTGCCTTGCAAAGAACAAAATAGTACACAAAATTCTCCTGCTACTTAAAATTTCTTTTAAGAAATGGGATGCAATCTGGTTTCTTTTGTATTTGTTTAATAACATGCAGTTCTAGACAATGCTGTCCCTGTCACATGATGTTTGCTTGGTAGTTTATCCATGTGGGGGGAAAGAAACACTGGTTTTACATAGAATGCTGTTTTCTGTTTGGTATGTAACCATCACTTTTGCTTTTATATTCTGTTGCTTATTACATTTGTTTTCTAATGACCATTGGTCTTTATCAATGAAAATACTTTGAAAAGGGTCAGCTACTTGCAATATTTCTAAAACAAAGCAAATATTCCATTTGAAGTATCTGAAAACCACATTTTAGACTTAGAGTACATTATACGCAGTTTATCCTCAGTATAATAAAAATATGTGGACTGAGAGTACTTACCTTTCATGCTGCAACGCTCAGGTGTATGAGTAATGAGTGAATTGCAGATACCTTAATATATGGTCATTTAAAGAATATTGTCTCACCACTAAACATAGGCAGTTTGCTGCTCTTAGTGCATTCTGAGAGAGATTTATCTCTGGGGACATTAGAAGAACTGACCTTATTTAGATTTACCGGTTAGGCTCTCTCTATATAGTTATGTAAATATAACTTTGCCATTTAATCTAGCTAACCTGTAAAAATGGTTTAGTTTTAACATCTCAAATTCATAGAACCAGTACTTTAAAATGGTTGCAGTTACTTAGGTTTACGTTAAGCATAAGCTGATGAGCATTTAAATGACTACATTCAATTGCACAGCTTTGTTGAAGTGTTAAGAAAAAAGAAGGGAAAAACATGAATGCTATCTATTTATTCTTCTGTGTTACAATACTGTGAAATAGCACAGCTTCTTGGTTTATGAAGTGAAAACTTTTTTTCATTATTTTACTTAATCATGTTAGGATTCCAGTAATGCTTTTATTTTTAAATGCAGTCTCGCCTGTAGTCCTTCATCTTTTATATGCCTTTACTGTACTTCTGTTCTTTCATACTTGCATAATGGAGTATCTAGGATAAAATAAGTCTTCAGTGTTAAGTTTTAAAAGTAAAATGAAAAGAAACAAAAATCTGTATTTCTCACACCAAAACAGGTTGCTGCAATTACTGAAAGAAAATAATTTCAGATACTTCTATGTTTAACGTTTGGGCCAGACTTTCAAAATATCCAATGAAAGGAAAAACTTGCAAATTCATTTTGAAAAGCTTACAGTACACTTAGAGAAGTCATTAAATTAGAGATTCCGTCTGTCCTAACTTCAGATGCTTAAAAATTACACTCCCAATCTGAGGCATCTCTGTACATGCTGTTTTTTTCCGTGGACTGAAAGGGAGCCTAAAGTGACTAACTAATAATTTTAAATGCTTTAAGGCAACCAAACACCACCAATTCTGTTATCAAATTCTTTGACATAAAGACAGATTTTTTTTGACTTGATAAAACTCATGTTTACGTTATATTTGTAGTAGGGATTTTTTTGTTCTTTTTTCAATGTGTTAAGCATATTCAGTAAATCATAGCCTCATTACTTCTGGACACAAAGTTTAGGCAATTATCTGCTCTGGATATGGTGTTTCTCTTTTGCCCCCGACAGCCTGTGGACTATTGACTGATTACAGTCAAAGGAAACGATAGAGAATTTAAACATGTTTGAGGAAAGAGATAGCAGATTTTCATTTTACATTTGCTTAGTATTTGTTGATTTCATTCATTTGATGGACAGGAATTAATAGGAAATCAGACTTTAGTTTTAATGCTTGAAGAGCAATCTTTGGGGGTTTCCTGTTGACAAGGCCAGACTTAGAAATCAGGATTTTTACCTTGGATGAAATTTTGGCTTTTTTATTATAAGTAGCAAAATTTGGCAGAGCAACTGAGAATTCAGAGCTTTGAGAGACCGATGCATTGAAATTTCAGCATTTATTTTAACTTTAATTATCATAGGCTATTAAGTTGCATTATTTTAGCAAAGCTTCAGAAGACCCACTTTTAAGCAAAATGAACTGGTGGAAGTCAATATAAAATCTTAATGCATATACTTGTATTTTCAATAATTTGCATAAATATGAACTAATTCACAGCATTGCTATAAAGTGAGTATTTTTGTATGGCCTCATGATACTGGCTGACATATAGAGATTTTAACATTAAATTGGAGTATGGATTAAGGATTACAGGTTAGGTACAGTACTACTTTTGTTTTACATCCAAACCCAGTGCTTTTTAAGGATGCATATGTTCGTTCTATTGTGCTATTTAATAATCAGGTTGGGCCATCACTATGAAAACACTAGTAGAAAATCGTTTCCAAGCATACCTATTTAGAATTACTTACTCCTCCTAAGATCATCTTCTACACTGTGATTTAGGAATCAAGTATTACTCAGTGAAGTTTGTCCATTGTTTGTGACCAAATGGAATGAGTCAGTTTATGAAAAGCTCTGAAATTTATCACTTGGCTGCCAGCAAAGTTGTAAAAATGTCTAAAGTACTGAAAAGCCTCTAAACAGATGCTGAAAAGGTAAACCCAGGAACGTAATTTAATTATCTAGAATAAGCTAAACCCTGGATGCATGGGCAATATATAGGAAATAAGAGTTTCTGTACTTTTTGGTCTTAATTTTCAGAGGTTACTACATAGGTCTTCAGGGAAAGATAAATACTGTATTTTTTTTAAGTTAATTTTTGGCAGTTTATTTGTAGTAAGTGAAGATGGCAAATATATAAAAACTGTCCAACTGAAGGAAGAAAAGCCATTGTGCACAGACCTTTAACATACACGGTACAAAACTTGGTTACAAGCAACATTTGTGAGTCTTTCCTTTCTTTTTTTTAATTCCCTAAGGCAGTGCTTATCAAACCTTCTGATTCTTCACCAATAAACTAAGTTGTTGGCCACATCTTATTAGGTCGTTTGCAAATTCAAGGCTGTCATACCCCAGTATTAAAATTTAGATCTCTTCTGGAGTATACTGTCTATTATTCGGAGTGACTGTTAGCCTTAGAACATATTTCTCCATTGAATATGACTCAGGATTAAACTTTTTGGGCAGGTTGTAACTTATCAGCTTTGTGCAGAATAGTAGAAAGATTTTTCAAGGTGCATAGCAGCACTGATGAGAGCTAAAAAACATTTATCCAAAGGACTCAGATCCAGGCACAGTTCTCCTAAAAATAAGGAAAAATCAATAGTAGAATATGGGAAATTGGGGGACATATTTCGTACTGATACCCAGAATGATTCAGACATGGTGGTAGTGTCTGTTAACTCCCTGTTCAGAGTTGCTTTAGCTGAGACTTTCACTGTAAATACCATAAACCATCCCAGTCAGTTTATGTAGCTTCCGTGAGTGCCCTCCACTGGTATCAGATGATTCTCTCCCAGATGATGAGCGTGCTGTAATTTTACCAACTTTTTTTGCATCATCCACTTACATCTTGTAAGTATATATCTCTGTGTATTTAAGTGGATTTTAACTTACCTTAATTTTTTTTATTTTTTCAGTTTTCACATGCCTAACAGTGATGGCTCTTACAAAACCTTGAGACTTCTTGAATTTTCGTTTCATCAGTATCTCAAAGCTTTAATGCTCTTGCATCACATAAATCTTTCAGTTTCTGCAATGTCATCTTTTAAATGGTTGTGATATTGCTGAGCTTTTAGTCTGTTAGTGCTCTGAATTTTCTGGGGTTCCTTATAACTGAGGCTGGCTCTTGCTTTTGCAGCCTTAGCTAGATAAAAGTCTCATAAGATTTTCAGGCAAAATTCAGCATCGCTGGGATGATACAAGCCCTATTTATATATGAAGAAAAATCTACTCTTAAAATAATATTTTGCCTTGAAAAGGTAGTCAGTTGAAGTCAGAGACTGAAATATACCTGCCATGTATATGTGTTTTTCAGGTCAACAGAGTTCATCTTAATGGAATAAAAATTTCAAACGTTACTGCTCATAGTCTGTAGCCATTTTTTATATCAACACAATTTAATTGGAAAATATTTAAAAAAAAATTCAAATTGCCACTTAACTGTTAAAAAATTTAAATGAAAAATGCTGGTATGTGTAAGTGGGAGGCAGAAATACAAGTTAAAGACCATTCTGATTATAAACACCTTGTTCAATAGAGAGGTTAGTGTAAAGAAATGACACTTGGCTCAGTGTCTCAGCATCTACTGATACTGCTAAAAATCTTGAGTGGCTCTGGATCTTTACTCATCTGTAGTTTATAACAAGTCAGAGTGAAATTAGTCTTCTGAAGGGTTCTACTGCTTCATGAGAATGACACCTCCTAATTCTTGGTAGTTAATCATACATTTTGTATGTTCTACAGTGCTTGGTGTTGCTCAGGTTTCAGTTTTGTTTCCCATCTAGCTGAAATTTATTGTTGGGAGAAAGCATTGCAAGGGAGATTGGCGTGAGGGTTCTCTTCCAGTGAGCTAGCTAAATCCAGATTTATGCTGTTCTTGTTGAACCTGACCCCATTGCCACTACACAGTACTACGTATAGTGCAGCACAGTTTATTCTCTGCGTGATGCTTAGCTATGTATGCAGACCAGCTGTATGAAATTGAGCAAGGCAGAAAAAACACTGGGAAAAAAAAATACAGAGGAATATATTGATACAGTGATGAGCAGTCATGGTTTGGCAATACGGGTTTCCAATTTGTGGGGCTTCTTAAATCCAAAGATGGTACCAGGTGCTGAAATAACTGGTCAGGAAACTTTTTTCCACCTACTTAGATGAATGTGTATTTCTTTTGGTCACCAGTCTCTTATAGTTGCCAGTGCTCTATCCACACAATAGTGTACTTTGCATGGGGATACCTTTTGGATTTATTTGGGCATTAAAACTTTGGCACATTGCTTGTGACTCCCTAGGCAGAAGTTTTGCATTGCAAATATGTAACAAAGCAAAAGTGGTTGTATGCTGACATTCTGGCAAGCTTACCAAAAGGGCCTTGATAATGTTGGCTTTCTAGATACCTTGAAAATTCTGCTTTTTGTCCGTCCCCACCACCACCCTTGAGTCTTTGGTGGAGAGGAAAAAGAAAAGGTGTGAAGGCTGAAAATGACATGTTACAATCAGTATTTTTGAAAGTGTTTTGTTAAGAATGAATTATGTTATTTTTATTGTTCCTGTTAACTCTTGTTACTCTCTCCTTGCCCCATCAAGCAAAGAAGATTTTTAGATATAAATCTGCCTTAGGTTACTTACAGGAAAAAAGAAAAAGAGAGCAGTTATGCCACACCAAGCTGCTTTGGTTTTAGAGAAATGGTAATCTAATTTTAGCATAACGTCTACTAGTATATGTGCTTCTAAAAGTGTTATACTACTTATTGTGGGAAGTTAGGTTATCAGAAAGACTACAGACAATTAGGGAGAAAAGGAACAAAGTATCAAGTATGAGAGCTAGTGATACAGTATGTGTGCTGTCACTGTTTTCAGGTGCCTTTGGTGGCCCTTAATTATCCTTATGAGAATGCTAACTGGAAAGACTATACTACATTTCTAGAATATTTTTTTTAAGTTTTCATTTTAAATGTAGTTTGAGTAAGATTTTTGTATAACTACAGTCTTTGTTATAAAGTTACTCTTGTAATGCTTTTAAGAACACACCTAATGTAATATCATGCATTAATTGTTAACTTGCAGAGCCTTCTTGTACAGACATTGACTTTCTGCTGTCTTGCACACCTTGTTCAGTGAGCAGTTTAAGCAAAAGAAGAAACGTTTGGTTTTGCTAATGTTTTGAGAGAACTGTTATATGACCTGGGGGCCATGAAATGGTTAACCTGTGGCAAGCCATATTCTATTAGATTACTTATTAAATGCTCTTTTAGTTAGTAATGCATTGTACATGTATCCAGAGTATTTTATCTAAGATTTATATAAGTGGAGTAAACAGATTTTTAGAGCATTTTGATGTAATTGATTGTAGTTATCTGTCTTAAGCATTTTCTCTTCTTTTTACCTGCAGTATGGATGGAGCAGATCTGTGTTTTGAAATTGTGAAGAGAGCAGATGCTGGATTTGTGTACAGCGAGGCTGTAGCCAGGTATATATTATAATTTTAAGTAATCCCACAGGATAAATTGAAAAGAATGGAATATACTGTTCTACAATCTGGTAGCTAAAAGTTGGAATATTATAAATAACCCTGTTTCCACAGTTTGAATGTTTATTTCAATCATTAGCATAATAAAAGTAGAATTTTGGAGCACTTTGACATTTACTAATTGTATATTTGGATGGAATTATTGAATAAAATAGTATTTGACATCCAATACTTAATTCCCTGTCTTTGCCTTTTATGGGGGTCTCAAACAATGGCATTAGGTGACTTGCCTGACAGGTGTTTTATTGCTAGATGGAGTGTCTTTTTTCTTTTTGATATATCACTTTATTTATGGTCACCTCAACTTTTCACTTATGAGGTAAACTAAAATCAAAGAGTCTATGTATTTGCAGAAGGACCACAAAACCCAATGTCCTAGTGGCATGATAATTGAGCTCAAAGCCCATAAGATTGTTTGATTCTTTGTTCTATCCCTTCCTAGATAAATCAGGAATTCACTTTTTTTCTTTGTGTGTTTTGTTATAAAAAAACCCTGACTTCTTTGTCATATGAAGCAGAATTATTGAACATTTGAAACCTTTACAAAATGGAAAATGCAGATTTTTCTTTTCTAATTTTCCTTGGCTTCAATCAGAATAATCCTCAAGCTTTAGATTTTATTATTCATTATTATAAACTCTGTATATCTGAGGTTAAGTTGGTTGATTAGTTTTATACAATTTGACTCTTAAAATTTAGTTTGTTATAAGTTTATAGTAATTTTTCCTGCAGGTTTGTCATGTGTGATATCTTTGTTTTTTCAGTCATTACATGAGACAGATATTGGAAGCTCTACGTTACTGTCATGATAATAATATAATTCACAGGGATGTGAAGGTAAGGGGTTTAATTCTTTTTTTTCTTCACCACAATAATACAAACTACTGAATTTTGATTCCTATCATTTAGAGGAAGGGGAAAGCTGTAGAAAAGGAAGCTATATTTGCTGAGTGAATGTTTACTCTTACTGTGTCATGTAAGATAAAGCCCTTCTCTGATTCCATCAATATAGAATGTTTAGGAGGTCTTTATTCACAGATTACATATGCGTTTGATTGCAAGTTACTTTGAAAGTCAGTTTAATTTCTAGTTTTTGAATATTCATATGAAATCTGTTTGGATTTTTTTTGTTAGGAAAATGTGTATATAAATTAATTGCATGAATTAAACTGGAACTGGTAGATTAATGGCATCGTTTTGACAGCATAATGACAGTCTTCATCCACACTAAGATTTCAGAGAGATGCGCATGCTTAAATGCTACAATATTGGTAGTATTAGCTACTTTTTGCAAGCAGTCTTAAACATTTATGATTATGAAAACTTCTCAAATGCAAACAAGTTTGGGAGGAGAAATACGGTGTTTAAGAACTGTGTATGTACATACTCTTTTTGATCTAGTGAATTTTGTACTATTTCTATGGATATTTATGGAACTAGTTTATCCCAAAGTACTGTAATGTAAGTATTTGGGAGGTTTAACCTAAGTGGGCTTGACTCTTCGACTTGAACAAACTTATTCTTTGATAATATTGTTGTCCAAGATAGTAACTCGCACTTGTCTTCTATAAGAGTTTGCTTTTACCCAAAGTGACTCAATCACAATAGGAATTAATTTAAATTCTGATGAGTTCTGATGGTGCCGTTTGAGAAGTGATCCTTGGGTTTTAGTGAATAGAGAAGATGAGAGAAAGGGTAAGCTGCGCTTCAAACTCCTACAGGTGATCTGTGGAGGAAGAGAGTATGGACTGGTCATTTCCATTTAAGGAGTCATTTGGTCTTGCATACACAGGCATTGCAGACCTTTCCCAATCTCTTTTCCCTTTCCTTCTAAAATCAAAAAATTAATCCATGAAATAGGTGATTTTTTTTTTTAAGTTTGTTATTTTAAAAGTCATTTCTTACAGCAAATTCTAAGATGGCTTCTTAATTGCTGGTAGAATGTCTTATCTTGTTCTGTCCTGAAGGTTCTAGGTTCTTCTAATTGTTCATTTTTGGTACTACATGAGAATTTCAGAATTAACATCATCTTTATGTTGCTGTGTCTTCCTGAAAGCTGCATGTGTTTTTGTCAGACCATGTTCTTGAACAAAAACAAATTTCAGTTTCAAGGGCCTCTGAGGGAGGCCCATTTTACTGAGTTTATGTAAAATGGGAATTTATTTTGCAGTTTATCCAGACTCTGAAAACTTTAAAATCACTGGTTTTATTAAATACCATCTTTAGAAATAAACCTGTTCAATTACATGAGTGAGTAGGAATTTTTAATGTATCAGTCTAAGGTAGTATAAACCAACAGACAGTGTTTCATCTTGGCAAAAGCAGTGCAGAAATACAACTGTAGGGTTTGGGTGTAGAACATATTAAGCTAACTGCAGTATCCCAGCTCTAGATGTCACTGTAGACATTGTTTTGAAAGGAAGTAGACTAAATGACCGATTTCCAAATTCTCTGAATGTATGACAGTGAATTAATAAAAATCTGTAAGGCTGATATAGTCATACTACATTTTTTCCCTCTTAAGCTTTCTGTGAATGTTATTTTGAACTGCAAAATGTTTGATTATTACCTGATGCACAGGAAAAATTGCACCTTACAGTCCCTGTAAGAATTGGGTGTCTTTTAGCCACTTTTTGTGCTCCCTTAGCTCTCGACTGATTAGAAAGAGTTAGACAGGAATACTTCTGTTTGCCGTAGTCTGGTGCCAGAAACTTCAACCTGACTTGTGTAAGTGACAAGATCTAGCAAAGCTTGTGGAGCACTACAACTGCAGCCTGTGATAAACTGTACGCTCCAGATTCACCTCCGAAGACAGAATCAAAACATGAAAACTTTCACAAGATGGCCTGCAGTTGTCTTAATTTCCTTCACTGCTCTGTGAGACCAGATGTTTCTTCAGCCTCTGTATGTCATATGACCACCTTCAACATTGCATAAAAGCTTTAAAATTAGTGATAATTACACCTTTACTTCACCTTCAATTAATGTGATCCTGCATTCATTCACTGCTTGGGAGTTGGGTTGTATGATAAGGAAAGTCAAAAATGCTAATGCAGGAAGGTGGAAAACTCAAGACAGCTATGCATCAGAAATGTGAATATCAAGAACTTTTTCCCTTACCACAGCATTTATTCCTATTCTGCCAACCTAGTGATATAGGACTCAGCCATTCCTTTTATTCTTTTGGAACCTTGCTGTGTCAGAAATACCCAGAACATGGCTACTCAAAGTAGCAACATTGAAATGGGGTATTTTCCATAAAACCCTTGCTAGAGTTAGAGTACCAGTTGTCACTGAAGTCAGCCACATTCTCTTGAACTGTCAGTATTAGACAATAATGAAAGTATTTTGTTAACCTAGTCATTAAAAAATGACAAGTGGGAGAGGACCTTTAAAACAGGACAAAGAAATAGGAGGAAAATGGCTTACCTCTTTCTTCCAAATCTCTACTTCACTATATTCTGTCCTGCAAAATAGTATTTTCTCTTACTTCACCTTTAGGAATAAGAAACTAACAAATTGGGTTAATTCTACATTAAAGTGGTTTTTCTCTTAACATAAATACAACTGAAGATAGTTCCCTTGTATATGACAACACATTTATTACAGGCAATAATGCATACCTTGAGATTTAATGGAATTAAAAACAAGTAACCAAAATGTGCTCTGTAGCTGTAATCTTTCTTCAAGAAAGGAAAATCAATAGCATGCCTCTACAACTCTTAACTGCGAAGGATACCACTGATCACTGAACTTCCTTCAGTTCTGTGCTGTAGAATTATTTTAATAATTATGATTTTAAAAGCTGAAAGAGGTGGTTTTGTTATAAATACGTGAACTCAAATATTTCCAATCCATATGGGGGTTAATGTAGTGTAGAGTACCTAAAGCAGCAGTGTGCATTTAGTGCAGTCACATTTAGTCAGCATTCAATATTTTGAGTTGTTACAGTCTCGGCGTGTGGGAAAAGTTGTTTTATCTTGTCATGACAGTTTCACTGAGGTACCTGTTAGTGAGAAGCTAGACTAACATTGATTCTGGTAGAAGACTCTTGTGCTAGTTACTGAAAGTAGAATGTGATTCAGCTCAAGAAATAGGCTGTTTAAGCATTGCATAAGTTATGAAGCAGGACGGTGTTCTATAAAAAGTGCATTTCTTCAGTGTTTATTGCAGATTTTTTCACCTGTTCATGTTTGCAATAACTTCAATGGAATGTTTTTTTATCAGTAAAACATCAAGAGGTTTTACAATCTTCATTTAGCCTATATTACGATGCATATGCAGCATTTTATATAGTTGCCAAAACGTTGTTGTAGAAATACCTCTTAATATAACTGATACAAGAGTAATTTAATCGCATCAAGAGCTTTAGTTGCTGGGGTTTTATCCTTAGTTCACTCCCAATAGTCCAGCTTTGTTCTATGATTTCCATATAGTTTGAGTGCTTGTATATGTTTCTGTGATCACTAAAATGATCAGCATGCAACTGGAGTCAGGGCAAGCTTGTTGGATAAATGTAGACATCCAAAATTTTTATTATAGGTTTATCTCAGTAGGTATGAATGCTTGTTTCCAGCACGTGGAATCTTAAGCCTATGCTACCATCAAAAACTCTGTGTTAAGAAACACATCCACAGGCAGGCACTCTGCTGAGATATCCTAACAACTTGTCCTGGTTTAACCCGGCATGCAGCTGTACACCACACAGCTGCTCACTCACTCCCCCCACCACCTGCCCAGTGGGATGGGGGAGCGGATCAGGGAAAAAAAAAAAGTAAAACCCATGGGTTGAGATAAAGACAGTTTAATAAAACAGCAGAAGAAAATAACAATAATAATGGTAATAGAATATAGAGAATCTACAAAACAAGGGATGCACAGTGCAATTGCTCACCGCCAGCTGACTGGTGCCCATCCCATCCCAAGCAGTGATCACTCTTCCCCCCCCCTCAGCCAGCTCCCCCTGAGCATGACATCCTATGGTTTGGAATATCCCTTTGGCCAGTTGGGGTCAGCTGTCCTGGCTGTGCCCCCTCCCAGCTTCTTGTGCACCTGGCAGAGCAGGGGAAGCTGAGAAGTCCTTGACTGGTGTAAGCCCTGCTCAGCAACAGCTAAACCATCAGTGAGTTATCAACGTTCTTCTAGTAGTAAATCCAAAACACAGCACTGTGCCAGCTACTAGGAAGAAAATTAACTCTGTCCCAGCCAAAATCAGGAAACAACTGCATTCCCTATAAAATGTATTTAAGGAAGGAGGCAAGTAGTGGGTTCTCAGTTTGGGCCTGTGCAAATTATAAGAAAACATTGGTAGTAAACAGCTTTGCTCACCCAGACTTACAGCTACTGATCTAAAACCAGTCATCACAGCAGCACTGTGCTGTATGGAGGTCTTAAATTGCTCAGTTCAGTCCTGCTGTAGGTACTTGGCCCTAAGTCGTGTTGCACAGTCGAACACCCACCCGCACAGACCAGCTTCCCATGCTCGAGGACTGTGTGCACAGAGCAGCTTTCCTACAGCACTTTGTAGAATTACACCCTGCAGCTGCCCACTTAAGGTTTTTCCATAAGTCATATGCTAAACATCGCATGGGAATCCTGTGAAATAAGTAATTGCTAAATCCTATTATCACAGGTAGCATCATATGTTACCTATGACTTTGTGTCTTTTCCACTAGCATTTTTATTTAACTTCTGCAGAGCACGAAGCAGCTGTGGGATGATACAAATTCTTGGGATCCCTACTAGAGAAGACATAATATTTTGTGTCTACTGGCACTTGGGTCGGTTTAGTGTACCTGTCATGGAACTCAGTAGTAGGGTTGATAAAACAGAATTGCTCACTACATTTTGTTGTGAAGTTTTGGGTGAGTGATACGATTTCTCAGAATATGTAGGATGTTACAGCACTTTTTACATTCAGTAAACTCCTCTTGATCTCAGATGCAGAGAAGATTGTACGAGGGAAAAAGCCATTATGGAATCTTAAGTGTCTTCTACAGAAATTATTAAAAATCATTGAAATCCCTACTTAAGTCATCATGATATAATTTCTACAGCAAAAAAAAGAAATAAAACCAAATCCAACCACAAAACCTCCCATTTTACACTTCTCTCATGCTGTTAATGATCATTAAATGTTTATCATTCAATATATTTTGTATACCAGTAAATAATAAGCATGCCTTCCTAATTAAACCATAGAATTTACTTCACAAGATTAGACTGTGGAAGTTCCAGTGATTTGTTTTTCTGGGTTCGGGTTTTTTTTTTTTTTTAGTCCTAAGTAATACCAGAGGTTAGAAATAACTGGGTGTATGCATTTCATCCTTCTTTTCTTCACTTAATGTTATTGTACATTCAGATATGTTGCGATTTAGTAGATATTTTGTGCTTTATGCACTCTTCTATAAATGGTCCGGATTTAAACATTGTTGTGAAGGGGGTACCTTCTGCAGCAGCATGAGTTAACCCACCTTTGAAGTAGAATAAGTATGTAGCACCTTTGGGCAAATACGGTATCCGGAGGACACAAAGGCTGTGTGCCAATAAGGAAGCCACTGCCTCAGCTGTTGAATGTGACTACCATGGATAAGACTGCAAGAACAATGATTCCTGACCAAGCTATACAGAGCACGTATAAAACCCATTCTTCTTAAACACAAAGTAAAATCCTAGGCCACCTGAGTTTCTCTTCATCTGTGGATATTTCACCCCTGCGGGTTACCCGTCACCATCAAAACTTTCTCTTCAGAGTCACCCTGTTGCAGACGTAATTTCAGTAACACTGTGGCCATGATAGGAAATGTCAGAGCAGGGTGATAAATGAGTTAAATCTTAAATCTAAGATTTCTGCTATTTTAGTACAAAGCTGCAGTAAAGCTTTTCCTGTAAAGGCTAGAATTAAAAAAGTGCATCATTTCTTAACACAGTTTTTTACTCTGAAAAAGTCAGTTACTATAGCAAAAGCCTAATGTATTGGACGTAGCTAAAGTAGATAACAGCATTTTTCAGTAATTTTGAAATAAGATGTCATCAAGAATTTTTCTTTATGCTCTAAAGAGTTTTAGTATCTCATGATGCATTCCCCATTAAAAAAAGGAATCAACCTTCTACCCAAATACTTCTGAACAAAAAATACTTGCTAATCTTGAATGTGGTTTATAGCTCTCTGCGCCTGCTTCCTCAAGCATTTGATACGTGGTTCAGCGGCTGTTCCAGCGAAAAC